CTTTCCTTGGAGAAGAGACTATCACAGAAGCTGTGACTCTGTCCTCAAGATATGGCTGAGGCTTGGAGCTTATTTTCCTGCTGTTTACTCAGGAACTCTGTAAAAGCAGATTCTCAAACAAACAATTTTGAAAGAGAGAGATTTATATCTCTTTTCTGTCCATTTAGCTTCCTTCAGAAGTTGCTCAGAAAAGAACCCCTGCAGGGTGTGTGTTAGGGAGAGAACTCATAAAATCAACCTTTAACCGTTACTGGGGAAATTGTAGAGTAGGTATTTTCCTGTTATTTTTGCAAGGCTGCCCCTTTCACTAAGATTACAGGCATAAGCCACCACGCCCCATCCAGCAGGAGTACTTCTAATTCCAGCCTGCTAGGAGGAGTTTTATATAAATTCAACACGAGTGTCAGCCCATCACCTCAGCCGTGTTCTGTTGGTTGGAAGCAAGTCACCTGTCCAGCCCATACTCAAGGGCCTGTGATTACACAAAGGCATGAATACCAGGAGTTGGGGGGCTTGGAAACCACCTTAGGGTATGTCCACCACAGTGACAGTGTCCCTACTTAACAGAGTGGGCAGTGAGGGGCAGGGAGAATGACTAAGGTCCATGGGTTCTGATTCCATGGCCAGTGTCCCTTCTACCACAGACTGACAGTGAAACATGGGTCCCACCCTTAGGCAGCTTGCTGAAAACTTGGGAATGGGAGCTAGAAATAAGGCCACCCAGCCAATTAATTTCTTTCTATTTTTAGGAGAGACAGGGTCTCACTCTTGCTCAGGCTGGTTTCGAACTTCTGACCTTGAGTGATCCTCCTGCCTCAGCCTCCCAGAGTGCTAGGATTACAGGTATGAGCCACCATGCCAGGCCAAAACAGTTTTGATTGTTACAACATAAGGAGGGAGGAGGGTCACGGAGCAGGTGCAACTAGCAAACGGTGCACAGAGGCCAGGGATGCTGCTGTGCATCCCAAATGCACAGAAGAGCCCCACAGCAAAGAATTACCTGGTCAGAAACATCAATAGTTCTGAGGCTGAGGAGCCCTGGTGTAGAGTTGGCAGAGAGGAAGAGAGGAAGTCTTTTAGCAAAGGTTGTGTGTGTGTGTGTGTGTTAGCAGGAGATGTAAGCAGGTAGGTGGAGGAACAATAGAAACACCAGCCTGCCACCCCACACTTTAATCTGGAGGCAGATGTGGTGGAAGATCTCTCTCCACCAACTAATGATAACCCATCTTCTGACACATGGGTAGCCAGCAACAACAAACGTAAGAATTCCAAAGTTAGAATCTTAAAATGTTGGCACTGGAAGCATGCTTAGAGAGCTGGTCCAAACCCTTTGTATTACAGGTGTGGAAATTTCTCTCCCTAAAGAGAAGAAATTGATTCTTCAAGGCCATACAGATAGCTCAGTGGCAAAACCAGCTATAGAAACTGGTGCCCCCAATTCAATGGCCAGTCCCATTCTTCTGATTTATTTTTGACATCTAATAGTTCACTACCCTTTTGAACATCTCTTACTCACAGTGGTTCCTACTGAGTTGAAAACTATTCTGTAGCTCAGGGGTTTGCAAACTTTTTCTGTAAAGAACCAGAGAGTAGTTATTTTAGGCTTTGTCGGCCTTACAATTTCTGTCTCACTCGGTTCTGCTGTTGTAGCGTGGAAGCGGCCATAGACCACACATGCATGAATGAGGGTAGCTGTGTTCCAGCGAAATTTATTTATAGCCACTGAATTTAATTTTATATAATTTTCATGTGTCGGAAAACAGTATCTCTTCTTTTAATTCTTTTCAACCATTTGAAAATGTAAAAATTAGGCCGGGCATGCTGACTCGCACCTGTAATCCCAGCATTTTGGGAGACTGAGATAAGAGGATCCTCTGAAGCCAGGAATTTAAGACCAGCCTGAGTGACATAGTGAGACCCCGTCTCTACAAAATAAAAAATAAGTAAAAATGTAAAAATTATTCTTGGCTCTAGGCCATACAAAATGGGGAGGGGGCTGTCGCTGACACGCTACTACACTGATCCCTCCACTTCGCCTCCCCTCCCCCTTTATAATTATAAATCCCATTAGGGAGAAGAAAGTAGATCTCTGCTTTGGAAAAATTTTCAAACCTCCTAAAAAGTACAATAAATTACAAACGGCACATACAATAAAATCAAGTTTTTGTTCAGTGTAAAGGTTTTATATTTCTATATGTACATACAGGCACACATGTGTACAAAGATCTAGAAGGATATTCATAAAATTGATAACAGCAATTACTTGGGGGAGGGGAGGAGGCTTGAAGGGTCAAGAAAGGCCTTGGAGGGTCTCCATTTGTTTCATAACGAGAATATATTTATGTATTTAGTCCTGTAACTTTTTAAATTTTAAATTAAAAGAATCTCTGTGTATCTCAAACTAGTTTAATAAATTCGCCTCACCACCACAAATAAAATCCATCCCTTCTTGCTGTCTCATCCGAGGGCATCAGAGTCTCCGGGAATCAGAGTCTCTTGTAGCTGGAGAGATCCGGCTGCCGCCTTGCAAACTCACTTGGAAGCGGAGGCCCCAGGCCCTTGGGGGTTTCTAGACATTTTCTGTTATGTTTTCTTGGGGAAATGCCCTTTCATCAAATTAAAAAACAAAACAAAAACTTACTTCTTTCTGCCAGGATACTGGTGGTCTAGGGCTCTTAGAAGATCTGACTTTGGAAACCCAAAGGACAAAGGGAACATAAAAAGCAGCAGGAGCCTGTCCCCTGGTGTCTGGGTCGCTGCTCTCGAAAACCTCCAGCACATGTGGTTTCAATCACAGCCTGGCGCCTTCCGCCTCCCGCCCCTTGCAGAAGCCCAGCAGTCCGGGGCGCCCGACTGACTTCTTTGTTTGCAAGGAGCTGGGCGCAGCCAGGGTGGCCGCCTTCGGGAGAGGTTTTACACTCGGCCTTCTCCTTTCTATAAAATTCCGGAAATCGCAGGGCAGCCCCAGGCGACAGGCTGCAGGCAGCCTGCTCCTGGGAGCTCAAGATCTCAGGGGACAGCCTAATCCCGAGACCTCTTGGCCAGCAGTGTCCAAAGCAAACACTGAGCAGATGGCCCGAGCGCTGGCCTCTGGTGAAACTGTTTATTCTTAAGAGATGGCCATCACTCCTCTGGGACCCTGCCCACTCCACCAGCCTTTTCTCCTCTTTCACTCCTGGATCTCACCCCTGCTCCTTCTAAATGGGATGCCTCTGAATTTGATACTACTTTGTGAAATTTAAGAAGCACCTGCAAGGAAAATTCAGTATTCTGTTGTAGTTTTCTAGAAGAGATGGGTTGAATGGAAACTGAGATGGGGAACTGGACCCATGAGGTTTACTTACCCAGTTTGGAATGAGGACAAACCCCGTCAAGCCTATGTTGGCAGCTGAGACCAAACATTGTTAGCCAGACCATAAGTGAGATTCCATTTATGGTAAGTTACTAGCTAAGGGTATACTTGGAGCCTACATTTCAGAAGGAATTACTTAAAAGTAATAATCTAGGTTCCAGGCATGAAATGTTTCACTGGAAATACAAACCTACAGAATCATCTTACTTCAAACAATCCAATACCTAGCCTGCACCCCTGAAATATCTATGACAGACACCCCATTCAGGATTTTGATTTTCACTGTGCCCTCTTGACACAGTATTCACTGTCAATACTTGGCCTTGACCATATTTACATATAGTGCATAAGCTCTATGAATCAGGGTTGCTTTTTTTTTCTTTTGAGAACATCAGCACAAACCTTACGAAGAAGTTTGACAATTTTCTCAGGTATTTTGTTGTTCTGGAGGTGAACAAAGAAAAAGGACAATTTCACAGGATCAAAACCAGTTAATTTGCCTACTGCTGCTCTTGGATTTACTGCAGCTGGTGCCCATGACACCAGGCCCTCCCCTTGCAGTGCTTTTGCCCACTGCTGACCGAGCTCACGTGCTGGAGTGCAAAGCTGAACACGAAAAACCCCTGCTTAAAAACCCCATCGGCTCCTCTTTGCCTATGCACCCTGTATAAACTCTGAGCTCCTTAATATGTTTTGTTAAAGAAAAAATCAATCATGATACTTGTTAAAGATAGTAACAAGCTGGGCGGGGTGGCTCACTCCTGTAATCCTAGCACTCTGGGAGGGCGAGGTGGGTGGATGGCTCAAGGTCAGGAGTTCGAAACCAGCCTGAGTAAGAGCGAGACCCCGTCTCTACTAAAAATAGAAATTAATTGGCCAACTAAAAATACATATAGAAAAAATTAGTCGGGCATGGTGGCACATACTCAGGAGACTGAGGCAGAAGGATCGCTTGAGCCCAGGAGTTTGAGGTTGCCGTGAGCTAGGCTGACGCCACGGCACTCACTCTAGCCCGGGCAACAGAGCGAGACTGTCTCAAAAAAAAAAAAAGAAAACAGATAGTAAGAAAGACCATTCATGGGGAGTGTAGAAGAGAAAAAAAATCTTTCCCTCCTACCCTTCTAGGTTCTCAGCTGGGCTCTAGTGTCCCTCTGTCCTTGGAGTAAGGACACTCCTTTCCTCCAGCTATAGGGAGGGCACCTCTCACAGGAAGGTCTACTGACCTGCTTTAGGGAAAGGCCAGAGAGACTTTCCTGTACCTGCTGCTTCTCAAATTCCTTCAGCTTAAAATATTCAATATGCCAAAGTGTCATATTTTGGGGTAGCATGTCCTGACCCCCATCAGTGGTGAGTATAATGGCATTTTTTTTTTTTTTTTGAGACAGAGTCTCGCTTTGTCGCCCAGGCTAGAGTGAGTGCCGTGGCGTCAGCCTAGCTCACAGCAACCTCAATCTCCTGGGCTCAAGCGATCCTGCTGCCTCAGCCTCCCGAGTAGCTGGGACTACAGGCATGTGCCACCATGCCCGGCTAATTTTTTCTATATATATTAGTTGGCCAATTAATTTCTTTCTATTTATAGTAGAGATGGGGTCTTGCTCTTGCTCAGGCTGGCTTCAAACTCCTGACCTCGAGCGATCCGCCTGCCTCGGCCTCCCAGAGTGTTAGGATTACAGGCGTGAGCCACGGCGCCCGGCCTATAATGGCATTTTGTAGTAGGGGAGGGAAAAGGGGCCCAACTCCAAATACAATAAGGAAAAGTGGAGATTTATAGCCAAGGAACAGGATAGAAGGGATCAGGATCATAGATAGAAAATTACTAAGAAGTATGGTAATTCTTTGCTAAACTGACCTAACAAGATTTTTACTGAAAGCAGGCCAGCGTGATAAGGATCGAGGGTGATGAGACCAAGGGAGGGGGATTTTCACTAAACTGACTCAGAAGGATTCTTGCTAAAGCTGGAGTAGGCAGGCCAAGACAGAGCCCAAGCTTAGGCCTAGTGGAAAGAAGGACTCAGAGGAGCCTGACTAGAGTCAGGTCAAGGAGAGAGTCTTTGTCTTCATGCGAGCTTTTCCTGATTCTGCCCTATCCTACTTTTCCAGTCATTAGATCCTGATGATTCTAAACTGAAGTCATTGGAAACTTCTCATCTTTCCCTGAACATATCTCCAGGTCATTCCAACAACTCTAGAATTCCTTAGTGGGCAATTATAACCTCAGAGCACAGAGAAATTTAAAAAAACCTGAGGAAACTATTATTCAGGAAGTAGCCATCTCCTCACAGACCCTCCAGACAGCTTTCTGTATGTGACGGTTGCCCAAAGTTTTCATTCCCTTGCCGGTCCCCTTATTAGGGCTGCTGCCCACTCACTAGCAGTGTGCCCTGTCTGAATCAGCCTGGAGGAAGATGGAAATCATATCTATCTTTGCAATCTGCTCCAAAAAAGCACTATTTGTGGTAGCAGAGGTCCTGCCTCAGCACTTGGGTTCCTTTCTGCTCCTTCCTTAGAGGTTTCCTGCGTATTTGTGCCCCTCCCCCAGGGCTGTTACTTTCTGTTCACTATTGTACTCCTTACTATGACAGCTAAGATATACTTCATACCACGCGCTTTAAAACAAGTGTCATTGTATTTCATCCTTACACCAGCTATGTGAAAAGGTACTATTGATACTAATATGCTTGTTTTACAGATGATAAACTAGGTTTAGAAAAGTTAAGGATCTTATTTAAGGCCAACACAGTAAACTGGAGTCAGGACTCTAATTTGACCCAAGCCAGCTCAGGTAATCATTGTGTTTTCAAATCTAGTATTTTAAGAACTCAGAAAAGGTTAGTTTTGGACTTCCTTATTTTTTGTTATTGTTCGTTTGTTTGTTTTGTTTTGCTCCTAATCTTAAATACATAAAATTAAACTAAGAGGAGTTAAAAATTCCCTCCAAGACCCAAAATATTCTTTTCCATAATTTAATTTTTTTCTAAACTCTGTGGCTACCCGGAAATATTTCTCAATGGAACTGATGGGGCAAGTGAAATTTCTGTGCCCTTTGTATTTGAGGGAAGAGAACAATGATCTCAAACGCAATGGTCAAAATATTTTGGGGGAAGGAAAAAAAACCATCACTTAAATCCTATTTTGGAATGACGGATATTATTTTTGAAAGCCATTTAGGGAAGAAAAACAAAGATCTTGCCATACATTTTTTATGCTGTGTGTGAATATCATACAAATGTGTACCATGATGATATTTAGAAGTAACTTGCAATGGAGTTTTAGATTTGTGAACTACATTTTTTTTTTCTGGCTGTTTTCAACAGCTCAACCCTTACCATTGCAGGATCTTGTTCTACATGCCCGTTCATTGTGCAGGATACAGGCATGACGGCTCACGATGGTGCCTGCAGGGAAGGTGGGCTTCTTTCCATCGGAGTGAACACGCCATTTCTGTAAAAGGAAAGGGTGATGACATTTTTATTCTCCCTCCTGACCTGTTTAAACACCATCCAGCTCACACCATTTTTCTTAATTCACACTGCTTGGATGATGAATAATTTTTCTTCCTTTTTAATTTTACCAAACCCTGCCCAGAGAGCAGGGCAAAGCTCCTGAGCCTCAATGCCCCTGGTGCTACCTCCCAGCACCTCCCAGGGAGCTCTGAGAGCCCCTGGTGGCTGTGAGTGAAGATGGTGGAAACTGATCTTTGTCCATACAAGGGCCAGTTTGAGGCCCCTGGGCACTCGCTTGTATAGTCCTCAAGAGTCTCGTATTTCTGAGAGATGAATACCGTCCAGTGTTCCCCAGCCTTGACCTTAGTTTTCTTTACCTCCTTTTCCCTTTCATACTTTTACACTTTCTCACCATCTGCATTCCTATGAAGAGAGGATTCCACCCAATCCTGCTGTAACATGCTCTTTTCTGGGTGTGGGCAGAGTCTTCCCTGCGGCTTAGTGGTTTTGAATGCTAAACAGAGCAGGAGACAAAATTCAATCCTTGGCTCTGCTAAGTTATATTTATTTCTCTAGTATTTCAGGCCTGGAGCTTCCAAAGAGAAAAAAATGTGTGTTTTGATAAAAAGGAAGGGGTGGGTGGATTAGATGTGAAAGTTAACACAGTTTCTGGAAAGAAAACCAGTGCCCCAGGAGTCCACAGGCCTGGGTTCTAGTTCCTCCTTTGCCATTGCCTTGCATAAATGTCACTTGACACTAGGCTGCCTCATTTATAAGGTACAGTGGTGAGATGAGGGGTAGTCCTGAACAATGTTTAGGAGCACAAATTCCAAAACAGATTTCAATTCAAACACTGGCTGTGCCATTTACTAGCTGTATTTCTGTAGGGAATTTATTTGACTTCTCTGAGCCTCAGTTTCATCATCTGTAAAATGGAAATAAAAACTGGACATATTTTATAGGGTTGTAAGGATTAAATAAGACAATATTCATAGAGCTTAGTGGGTACTCAATGAAATGAGCTATTAGCATAAAAGTTCCACAAGGTTCTTCTCATCTCTGTACATTTTAAAGATTCAATTTGAAAAAAAAGGTCAAATTAGTTGTTTGACATTATATTGATTTTGTTATTTTTTTAAAAAATAAGTCCCCTTTTTCCTGGTTTGCCGAGCTTTTTTTTTTTAACCATGAGTGGGTGTTGAATTTAAAGTCTTTTTCTTCATCTGCTGAAATGATATTGCTTTTCTCTTTTATTCTATAAATATGAGGAATTACAATGACTGACTTTTTTTTTACTCTTCCCTTGTTTTTTGAGACAGAATCTCACTCCGTTGCTCGGGCTAGAGTGCCATGGCGTCAGCCTAACTCACAAGAACCTCAGACTCCTGGGCTCAGGCCATAATGACTGATTTTTTTGATGTTAAACCAACCTTGCACACTTGGTCTGACACATTATTCTTTATATGTATCAGTTGATTTGCTTTTGTTAAGGGATGATTACATCTATATTCATGAGGCATATTGGTCTGTGGTTTTCTTTTGTGTGTGTGTGTGATACCTTTATCTGGGTTTGGGGATCAGAGTAATACTGATAAAATGTACAAGGACGTGCTCCCTCCTTCTCTACTTTCTGAAAGAGTTTGGGTAGAGTGGCAATTATTTCTCCTCTCTGGGAAGGTTCAGTTCTGGTTTTTAAATGTGAAAGAGGCCCTAGGCCCGCCTCCTCCACACAATCTGTCTTATTTAGCAATATGGAAAAGAAGGAATTATAGCAAGAAGTGGAACAGTCTAAAGATACAGGTCAAAAGGGGCTTGAATAAATTAAGGAAAAGCTGAAAAAGGAAGAATTATTCCACTATAATTCAAACAATATAACTGTGGGATATTAAGAAATCAAAATATATTTAAAGATGGAATTACAGTTCATAGTTTCCTGTACTTTTCCTTTAGAGCATTTATCACACTTATACATTTAATTATTTAATTATATTTATCATGTTTAATATAATTACTTGCAATTAAGTATTTTTCTTTTATTTCTATGAGTTGTCTTTGTATAATTATAAGCTTCATGAGGGAAGAGACTAATTCTGTTTTTCTTACTGCTATCTTCATAAACTTGGGCTCAAGTGTAGCAAGATGATACATGAATAGATGAATGAATAAATTATCTAATGTTTTTAGATGAGCTTTTCAGAGAATTTGCAGGTCCCTCTGAAAAATGAATTCAACTTCCATTCATTGAGTACCTATTTGGTGACAAGCATTGTAAAAATACAAAGATGGATAAGAAAGATGTCTCTTCCTAGGGAGTTTGATGTGGACTCAAGAAAAGATGGGAAAATATATATAGGCACAATGAAATATAAGAACCATTATAGAAATATCTACAGTAGAGTATTATGGGAAAATGGATTTAAAAAAATTAATTCAGCCAGGCATGGTGGCTTATGCCTGTAATCCTAGCACTTTGGGATCCCTAGAGTCCAGGACTGCGAGGCCAGGCTGAGCAACACAGGGAGACCCCGTCTCTACAAAAAATAGAAAAATTAGCCGGGCATGGTGGCATGTACCTGTAGTCCCAGCTATTCTGGAGGCTGAGGCAGGAGGATTGGTTGAGCCTGGGAGTTTGAGGTTGCAGTGAGCTATGATGATGCCACTGCACTCTCCTCTGTGCGAATGAACAAGACTCTATCTCAAAGAAAACAAAAAAACATATGAATTTTGTATTCTACTCTAAATATATTTTTTAAATACAGAGCATTGTTTTCAATTACTTATATTTTGTACAATGACACTCCAAGGAAACATTGATTACATAATTATTCTAGAACTCTATGTGGCTCTGTCATGCTGCCTGGGCCCCCCAGGGACATGAGCATACCTTTTTTGAGGACAGGCCGGGCGTGGTGACTCACAGCTGTAATCCTAGAACTCTGGGAGTCCAAGGTGAGCGGATCGTTTGAGTCAGGAGTTCGAGACCAGCCTGAGCAAGAGCAAGACCCCATCTCTACTAAAATAGAAAGAAATTAATTGGCCAACTAATATATATAGAAAAAATTAGCCGGGCATGGTGGCACATGCCTGTAGTCCCAGCTACTCGGGAGGCTGAGGCAGCAGGATCGCTTGAGCCCAGGAGTTTGAGGTTGCTGTGAGCTAGGCTGACGCCACGGCACTCACTCTAGCCTGGGCAACAAAGCGAGACTGTCTCAAAAAAAAGAGGGAGAGAGAAGGACAAAATAAGAATATCCATTTTTTCAATGCTTTATCCTTACGCCTTAAACAGTGCCTAAAACATTGCAGGTGCTCAATAAGTATTTATTAAATAAATGAATAATAGACATGAAATGATATGATGTGGCCAGATATTCTAAAAAGTGATATGAGCAAGTGGCTGTTAGATTATGGCAGAGGCACAACCCTTGGGGGGGTTGGGTGGGGGGATTTGGCCCTTCTTGTTTCTGCTGTCAGATAGGCCTATATGCTGAATGAAATATAGCCAGTCCCTTTTTATCTTAATCTGCTCACTGTGACACCACAGCCTGGAGATTTAAGAGGGGCTGAGGTCGGGGGCATAAATAGTCTACCTGCCTCTAGATTAATCCTCAAAGAATGGTAAACCAGTCAGCTGGGAAAATTGTAGATAAAACAGAGACTTATTGCTAAACTAAAAATAACAACACCAAAAAATTAGAGTTTAGGCCGGGCTTTGTGGCTCATGCCTGTAATCCCAGCAATTTGGGAGGCCAAGGTGGGATGACTGCTTGAGGCCAGGAGTTTGAGACCAGTCTGAGCAACACAGTGAGACACTGTCTCTTAAGAAAAAAAAACATTAGAGCTGTAGAGCTGTTCCCTAAGGGCCAGGGCCAGGGCCAGGGCCAGTTCCTAATAGTATTTATCTAGAAGCTTCCCTCTCCTAAATCTCCCCTCAAATGAATCGCTCCCTCCTCTCTGCTCCTTTTCTCTTTCCTTCACAATCCAACCTTGAGTGATCAGTTCCTTCGCTGACTTTCATCCTTCATTGCTGCCATCTCCTCTGAGCCGCTGTGCGAGTGCCAGTTCGTGCTGTCTTGCAGTATCCGCTAGTTCTTCTGTATGCCGTACGGACTACACTGGGTGCTCCGTGGGGGCAAGAATCAGGAGCTGCGTGTGAATCCCACTCTCATACCTCCCACAGACTCCCTGTACAATGCTGGGACATGATCATGGTCAAGGCACTGTTCACTGGTTGATACAGGAACCAGCAGTCTAGGAAATCTGCCTGCGTGGCCCCTGCACCTCCTCACAAGGCTGTCTACCAGCTTCTCATGAACAAGCGTCTCCAGACCTCTGCTCGAGTCCTACAGAGTTCATGCCCCCAGAAGGCTCACAGCTGGAGGCCAATGTGATATGCCTGGAAAAGCTGATTCCAGTACTAAAAACCATAGTGGCTTTTAAAGAGACCACAGAGAAAATGAAAGATTTAAGCAAATATTTGCCCTAAGAAGGCCTCAGTCTCTGGTAAGATTTCCAATCTGCAAATGCAGCAAAGAGATGAGGGTGGAGAGCTCTGCTGGGCAGAACAGGGAGTCATTTATACCGGGCATGATGGCTTCATGCCGAGGATTTCTGTACTTCTTTAATGTGTTCTGAAAACCTTGCTTCATTTTCCCTAGTCTGAACCAAAATATCCCAAATTCAGCATGCCTGGTGAACAGAAAGAAAGAAAGGAAGGAGGGAAGGAGGGAAAGGAGGGAGGGGAAAAAGTAAGAAAAAAACAAGACATTAAAAACACCATCCACCTTAGATAATTAAGCATTTGGGTGATTTCTTGTTCTTCACCACCCCTCTACTGCAAGCATGGAGTCCCCCAGGTCTGCAGGAAGGGAGGTCAGCCAGAACCAGTTTGCTGCTCTGGCAAAAATGCAAAGATCATCTGGAAGACAAGCCCCTGAGAAGGCAAACTCAAGCCTCACAGATCATTTGAGTAAATACATGAGTGACTGAATGAATAAATGA